GGGGGGTCTAAGTCACTAAGTCAAGTATTCTTCTTCCTCGTTCTCGATGACAGCAGCTAGACAGTCAGTCTGATGTCGCGCACAAACTGTGCAGTTCGCTTCAACTCTGATCGAGAGACTGCCATAGAGCTTTCTCTCAAGGGGAGTCACATTCTTCCACGTCTGTGTACGAAGGGTGGCGTAGCGCGGGCAGTGTTGAAGGATATGGTTGGCATCCTCATGGCCGTGTCCATATTCACAGATCGCTGATTCTCCCACTTTTAATTTGGTGTGCATGTGGTGTTTGAATCTGTTGTGGCCACAACGGAGTCTAAAGATTTTGACCTGGTCTGCTCTATTTGTGAGGCAGCATATATGGTGGAATCAGGCTCTCGTCAATTTTTGGGCATGTAGAGTTATTGATATCCTCTTAAAGGTTGTTCACTTGTCTTTATTTAGATGAAAAAAATATCCATTTATCTTGAATACAAATCGGGATATTTGCGAATGAAGGAGGTGGGGATTACCTGTTTTCAGACGTAAAATTAGTGAGAAAATGGCCACCAAAGATTAGTTATTTCCTTAGCTCAAGAGTCCGTGGTAACTGAAAATCAACATTTCTTGTGCCTTTAATCAACGTTTTTAAGAAAAATCCACACATAAATGAGTTCTTTAATGGGCATGAAAGGTTTTGAGCAACAAAAAAACCACGACAATTTGATAAAAATTCCTAAACCTGCGAAAAAAAAGCAAGTTTTTTCACTTTGATTATTTTGACGAGAGCCTGATTCCACCACGCTGCCTCACATTTAGTATGTAGTAGAAGTATTCTTCGATTATATTAGTGCCTCGATCTTTGTTTGATTTCATTTCTCGTACTATTTCTACATGTCGTGTAATAACATGCACACTTGGCTCATGTCTAAGCATATCATCAGCAGACGACCAACGTCTTTACACGTTAGGCCTTGATCTTGAGATTCTTATAGATCATGCAGGCTATATTTTCTGATCAGTTAGATATATAGTGTATTTCGTGCTCTTATTAAGAAGAAGAGCTGATCAAGAAGACAGACAGAAAGAAGGAATGGGTAAAATGATCGTCAATGCCGAACCCTTGAACCCATAGAACCACACAATTATGAATCCAGTGGTCTAACCACTATTGACTACCGGCGTCACACGTAGGCCTACACGTTTTTAGTACAACGGGTGGGGTGCCTGTACTGTGTATAGCTGTACTAAATATGTGTAGGCTACTTTTGGTTACTAACGTGAAAGCTGAGAATGTGGTAGGCACCCAACATCATTATCTTTTTTAACACCGATTTTAGTAGTAGTATAGGGTTTTACGGCGCTCGCAACTGCGTAAGCTACCGGTTTATACACCTATGCACGATACAATTATAATTATAGTGTACCGTCCTTTCAGCTTCACAGTAGATGTACTGATCACAGTGAAGAGACGAAAACTAAAATGGTATGGGTATGTCACAAGATCCACAGGACTTGCCAAAACAATCCTGCAAGGACAAAAATAGATGGCGAGAGCTGGTTTTCCAATGCAGTGGTGCCCCAACGGTTGCCCCAACCACAGGATAGAAGAAGAAGAAGAGATAGATGCACTTAGGTTTTATAGTGCGCTAAATAATTCCTCAACAATCAAACATATAAACTCCCCAGCTTTTGCATTACAATGACTTTAATGAATTAATCGTCTTAACAGATCAGCAGTTTTGTAAACAGCTGTGAGTCCGGAGAGCTGTGTTCTCTAATCACACTAATAAAAAAAAATCCTATTGGGTGGTTTTGCAGATTTTAAAAGGTTTACATCCCCATGAGTTGGCACAAGAATAAATTATTATCACTATAACAAGGCCTACTTCAGCTGTTATGATGACAGGTTGCCTAGTGGTTAGGCTCTCGGACTCGCAACCGTAAGGTCGTGGGTTCGAATCCCGCCAGGGGCCCAACGTTGTGTCCCTGGGAAAGGCACTTTGCACAAATTTTCCTTACTTCACCCAGGTGGATATGGGTACCCGGCTATAGACAACGAAAGATCTTGTCAGTTTGATAGTGTTTGAGCGCGTGAAATCCGCAGCTTGCACTGTATGCTTCCGCAGAAGCCGAGAATGTTTCTGAGTGTTCTCAGAGGGTCTGCAGGGATAATAATCGTTGTAAAGTGCATAGAGCATGCTCTTGAGCATGGATATGCGCTATATAAATGAAATTATTATAATTTTTATGACCTCAGTATGGTAGAATGTCAAACGCGGCAGCTGGAGACCATGAGTCATTGCACGTCAACCTCTAAGCCAGAGATGACACCTCCAGATACCATAGGTACATGACATTATACTGCTGTTACAGATAGTGTAACAACTGGCCCTCTTGCCTTCAACAATATGGTGGACGCACACACCAAGGAGTTTACAGTAGTTCTAAGCTCCTTGGCACACTCCCATAGCTAGTCTAGCACGTGTGACATCACTGCCGCTTACTCCTGTCTTTTTTTTAAAACCTCTCTGGTGAAAAGCGAAGCATAATTTCTTGACTTCTTGGACTGCCATAATTTGGCCATCGTAGAATTGGTTTGGTGGCTTGGTGTGCTGAGCTCGGTCGGTAGAGGTGTGCGAGTCCAGCATATTAAGATTCGAGTCCACACTCGAGTATCTGCTCTGGACTCGAGTAATTACTCGAGTAATAGTATCCCAAAAGGGAATTTTAGTGGGTTTCAAAAAAAGTTTTGTTGAATATCGGACAGAAAATAGAGTGCCTTCCTTGGAGGGAGCTTGAGTAGGCTTATGGCAATTCTAGACACATGCTGTTTATACCTTATTTATTTTATTTTATCTTAGGAAGTGGCTATTCTCACCCCAGGTGAGAATAAAAATGTGATCGACCTCTCACCCCGGGTGAGACTTGCCAGCGTTGGCTATTCTCACCCGGTGTGAAACAAAACCGGTTTTTCCTAATTTCTGAATACTTCCTATCGGGGAGGATGATTAAATAGACAAACCCCTTCTTTAAAAAAATGATATTATAACACAAAAGTAAAACTAATTTGACGGTCTACAAAGATGCTACTGCTATTTCACTTTTAGAATAGAGCCGAACTACCCTAATCGGCATTTTGTTTTGCCCAGAAATTCTCGCAATATCTAGGCTACTCCGCTCTCTCTCTCTCTCTCTCTCTCTCTCTCTCTCTCTCTCTCTCTCTCTCTCTTTCAATGCCCGCAGATAAAATTGCATGTTTTTAACACTAGAGAACTGGAACGTTTGTTTACACCACAGAATTCAATTTTTTAAAAGTGTAGACCTAGAATTCTGTGGTTTACACTGGGTATCACGGTAAACGCACACCGGAAGAGAATAGCCAAAAGGCTCGCTCTCTCACCCCAGGTGAGTGAGAAGCTTACAACTGTATAACAACTAAGCTAGAATAGAGGTGGTCTTTATCTTATCTTTTCTTTTCTTTAAAAAAAATAATAAATTCTCTATTACAACAGTAAGAATAAAATGTACACGGATTGTAAACCTCAGACAGTGGACTTCATAAAGAAAAGAAGTTTGATTGGTCATCGTGGGTTTTTAACAGTGGTTTCCTTTTTGCTTTTTTCTGGGGGGCGGGGGGGTTCGTTTTTTTCCTTTGGGGGAAGGGATTTTTTTGTTTTTGTTGTTTCTTTTCCTTCAGTTTAAAAAATTGCTTATTAGAATGTTTCTTTTATCTATTCTTAACTTTTTTAAAAAACAAATTTTTCTCCTTTTTTCTGTTTTCCCCCCCTACAGACTCGAGTCTGGACTCGAGTCCAGACTCGAGTCCTTACTCGAGTAATTTACTTGTGACTCGAGTCTGGACTCGCTGCATGTATTACTCGAGTACTCGAGTCTGGACTCGTTACTCGCACACCTCTATCGGTCGGATTCACAGAATTCTACACTGCACCAGTCACACATCCTGACTTTTCTGTTAGACTCTAGGGTAAGATTCTAGATATCTAGATAGATTTTCTAGAAGCTCAAAACTGCTGTTGTCAAAATAGTATCGTCTGTTTCTGCATCTGTTCGCTCTTGTAGTTTTCGTTTGACCCTTACGCAGAGGTTTGTATTTTCGCATTTTGATTCTGTTGTATAGACCGTGTTAAGGGAGGACTTCCGTAACGAGCGACCACTATGAGACAGAGCAGAATTGAGGGCTTGGACTTGGGGTAGGGGTAGGGTTAGGTCTAGATCTAGGCCTCTTCTTTATTGTGTTTGATGGGGTGGTCGCTCGTTACGGAAGTCCTTCCGACCGTTTGTAACACGGTCTAGATCTAGATCTAGATATAGATCTAATCTAGATCTAGATCTAGATCTAGATTAGATCTAGAATCTATATCTATAGTCTAGATCTATACCTAGATGATACTAGATCTAGATATCTAGATATAGATCTAGAATCTAGATGTAGATCTAGATTAGAATCTAGATTCTAGATCTAGATTCTAGATCTAGATTCTAGATCTAAATCTAGACCTAGAGTCTAGATTCTATAGAACTTCTTGGGACCTATTGATTGAGAGGCGAACACCAACCTCAAGGCCACGAGAGTCCCCTCTTACATAATTGTTAAACGCTAAAACACTAACACTGACAAGATTTTTCGCTGTCTTTAGCCGGGTACCCACTCCCACTTTGGTGAAGTGAGGGAGGAAAATTTGTGTAAAGTGCCTTTCCCAAGGTTGCAAATTCGGTCAGGCAACTGACAAGATTCAAACCCACAACCTTATGCCTTATGTTATGGTTGCAAGTCTGAGAGCCTTACCGCCAGGCCACCAATTCCACTTATGCTTGACATGTTTGATTTCAGTATTGGTGAAATATTTTAGTAGTAGAATCTAGATTAGTAATGATATTCTTTCCAAGATGAGGACTGATGTTTCCCCATGCGGCTTAGGTTGACTCTGACAGTGGGTGGTTGGCGGGTGCTCTGGTATGGTTTGCTTCTTCTTTCCCATCAAACATCTATCGTCCTTATAAATCTCTCCTCCTTCTTTTTTTGTGTTTGTTTATCTCTTGTAACACCTCTAATCTTCAGCGCTTTTAATATGACCTTATTGTGTTGCAAGTGCCGTAAAACACACTACTAAAACGAAGTTGACCCTGTCAAACGTGATAAAGGCTGCCTGCTTCCTGTGTGATCTCTGTGTCGATGTGGGAAGTGGGAATATAAAACATTTTAACAAGTTCCAGCCAATATATAAATCCCTCTGCACTGCAGTTCTATAAATTATTTTTTGTTTCAACCTCTCCTCTAAAGATCATACATTTTTGCAGGTGTATGTAAATTTATTTGTTCACTTTTTGAGATGCATTAACACCCTCTCATGCTCCATTAACACCCTCATACTTGAAGTACCGCTATTGTTATGTTGTTACAGATGTTGAATTTCCTTGACTCTTCTATGAGTTGTCACATAAGCCATTTCTCTGCTTTGTCACATCAAGTTTAAATTGTGTTTTATTTGAAGTTGTGTTGCATTTTCAGCATTATAGAAAAAATAGGTTTTCCAGTGTTTGGAGGGCACCATTGGTAGGTCCTGATTTTTACCTTTCTCTCTGGTGTGCTGTCTGTCTGTCTTACTTTTTCTCAGCACTGAATGACCATTTTTGTGTCAGTGTCACTGTACATTTCTTTACTCAGACAAACAAACAAACTCAAAGAAAAATTTTAAGCTAAAAGCATGTTGTATCTCCCACCAAAAATTTTAAGAAAAGGAATAGGATGCAGTTTATGTGCAGGCAAGTAGATGGCAAATGAGGTCAACAAGGAGTGGAAAAAATAACAATAAAATGACAGAAGCATCTAGTCAGTATAGAGTTGCTGGCTTCAAAGGGTTAAATTTGAACTAGACATTTTTTGTCTTCTCTGTATCTAATGTTTTTACATTTCTCCCTTCACAGTGCGAACCAGCGGGCAGACAATGTGCACTCTGACCGAGCAGGTAAAGCAGTTACCACTTTACATTATGTCGCAATGTTATTTTGTTTTCTTGTGGCGTTGTTTGTGGGTGGTTGGAGGGTGCTTTAGTGTAGTTTGCTCAGGTTCTTTTCTCTATCAGATGTACTATATCGTCCTTATCTCTCCTTCAGTGGATATGAGAGGTTAGTGAGCCCAGGCTGACCATTATGTCGATCGTAGATCTATGTCTGTGACACGGTATCGAGGTGGGCACTGCGCAATGGGTTGTTTTGTTTTTTGTTTGTTTGTTTTTTTTGTACACTCTGCTTTTTAGTATGTTTTTCCCAATACAATTTTCAGAAATATTTGTGATTCCCGATATGAGTCACTCAGTTACTTGTTCCGTATTTCAGTTCCAATGGAGCTCCTTCAAATATTTCACAATCTGAAATCACGGATTTCTTTGAAAATCGAGAATCAAACAGTGGGCAGAAAAAATAACCCTGTATACAGTTAAGTAGTCTTGAAAGTGTCGAACAAAACAGAACAACATAACTCTTACTCAAAAAACTTCAACTTTAGCAAACAGTAATGGTGTGTGGATTGTCTATATATGTTTGTGATGTTGTGCATTATTCATGCATTTACTCAAGGGCATCAAAGAGAGAAATTTATTGTTTTTAGTTGTAATTAGTAGACGTAGTAGCAGCAAGGCCTGTCGTCAGTTCGTCATGACTGTAGTGGCAGTGGAAAGCAGTACATGATTATCCAGGACCTAAACTCTAGGTTGTCGTGCTAAAAGCACGTGGGCAGCTTGTAGGACATGTTGCAAGTGCAGTATAAAACACTTGCTAAAACGAAAAACTAAGACTTTGGTAATGAATTACTCTTATTTAAATATATTACTCGTTTGTGTTATGTCTGCATAAAGAGTTGTGTGAATGTGTGTATATATGTGTGGGGTTTTTTCCTGTTTTTGTCTTACTTTTATTGCATGCCTGTTCCTCACATTTTTAGCCAGAATTTCCATATTTATATTTTCCTGCATTCTCATTTACCTCACTGACATATGTTTTGTCATGTTATAGTATGGTTTTTCCTGCCATTTTTAGTGTTGTAGATTGATGATCAGAATGTGACTGCTTGGGCTAGGGGCTTTGTGAAGCAGGGAAAACGGTCACATGCGTAAAAATCACTTGCGCTGCAGATTTAAGAAACCCTGACCTGAAGTCTGGTAGGGCAATGCAAAGAAGAACCTAGGAGTGTCGTGGATCAAGGGCTGGAGATGGGTCTCATGTAAATATTGAGAAAGGCCTAAGCGTCTCAAACAGCTTCTCCCGATCCAGCCAACCGCACCTGCCCGTGTATTTACTTAAAAGGGCGAAGGTGGCGTCTCCCGATTTAAGAATTGTTTCTTCGATAGGACTGACACTTCCTTGTGGGTAAGAAACTCCTCATGTCTCAGAAATTCACAGCGGGTGGTTGACGGGTGCTCTAGTGTGGTTTGCCCCTCCTTTTTTTCTCCTGCCACAAACATCTATTGTCCTTATCTCTTCTCCTTTCTTATGTTTGTCTCTGCCAAGTACTTGTAGCACCTGTAATCTTCGGTACTTATATTTATGACCTAATTGTGTTGCAAATGCAGTAAAACTATTACTAAAATATTTTTTTAAAAATATATTCTGTTTAAAGAGCTATTAGAAGGACTTCTCATGTTACAAAACACTCAGAAGGCCTCCCCTTTCCCCCCCCCCCCCCCCCCTCCCCAGCTGTGCATTATTTATGCGTTCAGTATATCTTCACATCTGTAAAACTACATCCGTCCTTGGCAAATCTGTCTACTGACTCATTATAGGGACATACTTCTCTGAATGCCATTCAAATATAATTACGACTCTGTGTTTGTGCATATTTTGTTGTTGTTGTTCTTATTTATTTTGAGTGATATCTTGCATGGTACAGAAAGGAATATATTACAGAGATTTGAGAGAGGGGAGGAAAAATTCCCTGATGATGGCTTACAGTCTCTGGTTTATTCAAATCTGTCCTGTCTCTCATGTTTAGCAGGTGGTTGGCGGGTGCTCTGGTGTGGCCTGCTCCTTCGTTCCTCTCAAACATCTGTCGTCCTCATCTCTTCTCCTTCTGTTTTTTTGTTGTTTGTCACTCTCTTGTAACACCTCTAATCTTCGGCACTTTTATGACCTCATTGTTTTGAGAGTGCTGTAACTCTTATTTAAAAAAACTAACAAAAAATCTTGTGCTTCTTCTTAGTCCTTTTTTTTAAAAAATCGGTCATGTTGGTGTTTCTGTTTTTAGATGGAACAAAGTTACTGACTGCTTAGATACTTGAAGATATAAATACGTGCACTTTCTATTATTAGATGGAACAAAATAACTGACTACTTAGATATTTGAAGTGGGTGGTTGGCGGGTGTTCTGGTGTGGTTTGCTTCTTTTTTCCTTTTAAACATCTATCGTCCTTATCTCCCCTCCTTCTTTTTTGTGTTTGTTACTCTCTTGTAACACCTCTAATCTTCTGGCGCTCATATAACCTTATGCAGTTGCGAGCGCCGTAAAACTTCTACTAAAACAAAAAAAGATATTTGAGGGTATAAATACGTGCACTTTCTATTTTTAGATGGAACAAAATGACTACTTAGATATTTGAAGATATATGTTATACACGCACTTTTATTTTTAGACGGAACAAAATAAATGACTACGTAGATATTTGAAGATATAAATGTGAGGCAGCGCGGTGGAATCAGGCTCTCGTCAAAATAATCAAAGTGAAGAAAGTTGCATTTTTCTTCAGGTATGTGAATTTGTATCAATTTTTTGTTTTTTGGGCTCAACACCTTTCATGCCCATTAAAGAACTCATTTCTGTGTGGATTTTTCTGAAAAACGTTGATTAAAGGCACAAAAGATGTAAATTTTCAGTTACCACCGACTCTTAAGCTATAAGGAAATAAGTAATCTTTGGCGACCATTTTGTGACTAATTTTACCTCCCCATCTCCTTCATTCCCAAATATCTCGACTTGTATTTGAGATAAACGGATATTTTTTCATCCAAATAAAGACAAGTGAACAAGCTTTAAGATGATACCAATAACTTGATGTGCCCAAAAATTGACGAGAGCCTGATTCCGCCATGCTGCCGCACTTTTATTTTTAGATGGAACAAAATAACTGACTACTTACATATTAGAAGATATAAATAGATGCCCACTGTGTGCTGTTCCCAGGAACTGGAGTTCCACTACTCCCCAAGCCAGTGGACGCACCGGATGAGTCCGAGCCAAGTGGTCGGGGACTTTGTGGCCAGATCAGCAGAAGGTAATCAGTCAGTCACGACTGTCGCTGTGAGTTGTTCACTACTAGACTTTTGTTTGTGGTGAGTTAGTTGTTCACTAGGCTCACTACTACTTTCTTCTTTGTGAGTTGTTCACTAGGCTCACTACTACTTTCTTCTTTGTGAGTTGTTCACTACTAGACTTTTGTTTGTGGTGAGTTAGTTGTTCACTAGGTTCACCACTAGACTTTTGTTTGTGAGTTGTTCACTACTAAACTTTTGCTTGTGAGTTGTACGCTACTAAACTTTTGTTTGTGAGTTGTTCACTACTAAACTTTTGCTTGTGAGTTGTACGCTACTAAACTTTTGTTTGTGATGAGTTGTTCACTAGGTTCACTACTAGACTTTTTGTTTGTGGGTTAGTTGTTCACTACCTGACTTTTGTTTGTTTGTGAGTTGTTCACTAGATTCGCCACTAGATTTTTTGCTTGTGAGTTGTTCACTACTAGACTTTTGTTTTTGAGTTGTTAACTAGGCTCACTACTACTTTCTTCTTTGTGAGTTGTTCACTACTAGACTTTTGTTTGTGAGTTGTTCACTAGATGCGCCACTAGACTTTTTGCTTGTGAGTTGTTCACTACTAGACTTTTGTTTTTGAGTTGTTCACTAGGCTCACTACTACTTTCTTCTTTGTGAGTTGTTCACTACTAGACTTTTGTTTGTGAGTTGTTCACTAGATGCGCCACTAGACTTTTTGCTTGTGAGTTGTTCACTACTAGACTTTTGTTTTTGAGTTGTTCACTAGGCTCACTACTACTTTCTTCTTTGTGAGTTGTTCACTACTAGACTTTTGTTTGTGAGTTGTTCACTAGACTTTTTGTGGGTTGTTCACTAGACTTTGTGGGTTGTTCACTAGACTTTGTGGGTTGTTGACTAGGTTCACTACTAGACCTTACCCCCTAGGGCGGTGCCACTGACTGAAGTGTCATTAGGCCATTCCCAAAGGGGGGATATTTCTCGTTCTTATGCACAGTAGAATTATAATTGGGCTGATCCAACAATGTCATGCTCATAACTGCCTGAAATACAACAGGGATCTGCTGCTTTTTCTTTCCAAATCCTTACTATCGTTATATTCCTCTACTTCTTTTGTATGTTTGTCACACTCTTGTGAACTGCTATTTCCGGGGTGCCTTGATAGTCGAAGCAGACTTTGTGCTGTTGAAGCTAGAGAGGTGAGCAGAGTAAGTCTTTTTCCCTGTGAGGACTTCTCTGTTGACATCCACCCCTTGGCGCTCATATGACCTTATGAAGTTGCGAGCGCCGTAAAACCTCTACTAAAACTAAAAACTAAGCTACTACACTTTGTGGGTTGACTACTAGAGTAAGCACACACACCCACCAAAGCCTCACTCCACATAATCTCTTTTATCACCTGGTCAGTAGCCTACTAATGTAGACACAGAGAGATGGAGAGGTGAGAATGGAAATGTGAACAGCTGTTGCTCTGTGCTGGCTCGACATTCCCAGCCTTTTGTGTGTGTGTCTGGTCGGTACATTTTTGTGTAGCTTTGTGTGATCAGCCTGTGAGGTTGTTGACGGTCGACCCGGAAGTTTATTGACGGTCGACATGTGAGTTTATTGGCAGTAACTATACTATGTACTATAGCTGTGGGCGTGGCAGGGGATAAGTGTTTCTCTTTTGTTGACTTTTTTATGGCAGACATCTGGCTGTTAGTCTGTTTATCCTATTGTCAATCACATATATTTATATGGAATCGTATTTATATTTACACAGACACACACATGCACACACACACACACATGCGCACGCACATACGCGCACACACCCAAACTCCCCCACACACGCACTCAACTTGTCTATATATCTATCTGTCTGTCTGTCTGTCTGTCTGTCTGTCTGTCTGTCTGTCTGTCTGTCTGTCTGTCTGTCTGTCTGTTTTTCTGTCCGTCTGTCTGTCTTTCTATCTATCCTCACACATTTATCTGTCTGTCTGTCTGTCTGTCTGTCTGTTTATCTATCTATTTATCTATCTATATATCTATGTATCTATCTATCTATCTATCTATCTGTCAATCTATCTTTCTATCTATCTTCTATCCATCCATCCATCCATCCCTCCATCCATTCATCCATCCATCCATCCATCCATCCATCTATTCATCCATCCATCCCTCCATCCATCCATCCATCCATCCATCCATCCATCCCTCCCTCCCTCCATCAATTCATCCATCCATCCATTCATCCTTTCATCCATCCATCCATCCATCCATCCATCCATCCATCCATCCATCCATCCATCCATCCATCCATCCATCTCTATGGTGTGTGATCCTACAAAGAAAAAGTGTGGTCCACCTTCCTCAGGTACTGTTCAGTGTTTGCGACTAAGGCTGACTGCCTCTGTGCCTGAGGAGTAATCTTTCTTCTTTATTTATTGACTTTTTAATGCTTGCGTCGGGCAATTTGTCTATCTTCATTGTCAATCAGGTGTATATCTAATAAATATGACTGGTTTATCCTGCTAAGGACAAGTGGCGTACACCATTCTCAGCCTACTCGGCTGCTATTATTTTGGAGGATAATTTATTCAAATTTTATGTAGTCCCTGACTGAAGTGTCTTTAGGCAATTCCAAAAGGGGTGACCATAACCATGTTCTTATGCACAGTAGAATTGTACATTGTAAATGGGCTTATTCATCAATGTCATGCTCATAACTGTGCCTGAACTGCGACAGGGAACTAATGCTTTTTCTTTCCTAATCCTTATTCTCGTCATTTTCCTCTACTTCTTTTGTATGTTTGTCTTACTGTTGTGACCCGCTATTTCTGGGGTGCCTTGATAGTCGAAGCAGACTTTGTACTGTTGGAGCTATAGAGGTGAGCAGAGAAAGTCTGATTCCCTGTAAGGACTTCTCTGTTGACGTCTACCCCTTGGCGTTCATATGACCTTATGCAGTTGCGAGCGCCGTAATGCAATCTTTTACGAATTCGAATAGGTTTATTTTGACTCGAAAGTGTTAGAGACATGTATAAACAAACAACTTCCTCTTTCGCTTTGACACAGTTTTAGCCATTTTATCTTTATTTTCTGTGCATCCCTTGTTACATGTTTCAAGAGATCTGGAAGAAATTCCGTCAAAATATGGAAAATAATTCTTGGGTTAAAGGGTTAACTGAGCTGGTTTTTTAAAATGAAGACAAGGATTGTGCACAACTTTTGGGCAACCTAGTTGTACAACATCTTTTCTCTAGGGGCTCCAGTGGCTAAGTGAGTAGTGAGTTCAGACTCAAGTAATGTCTGGCAAGTGTCGGTGACACGGGGATCATATGGGTGGTCACTGGGGTGTGTCCTTGAGCAAGACACGACAACTCTAGCTCAAAATACAGGGCGCTGCACAGTGGTGACCAACAGTGGCATGGTTGCAAACTGTTCTGTATTTGTGTAATATTGTGTCTTTTTGTAGGTATTTATTCATGTATTTATGTATCTACGTATTTATAATTATATGTGTATGTATGTTTGCCATTGTAAACCGAAATGCCCTTCTGGGACAAATAAAAGTGTAATTTATTCATTTATTTTTTTATTTTTCATGTCTGGCCAGGCCTGCTTTTTTTATAACTTGCAACTGCTGTACTAAGTATCCTACCATGTGTTGAACGTTTTATGATGTCACTGATACTGATATGTATGTTATTTATGATTCGTGCTGTTTCGCAAAATTCTATTCCTTAAAATGTGTCTGCTCTATATGATTTGGTCTAATATCCTTAAACACTGAATGTAGGTGGTTGGAAGGTGTTCTGGTGTGGTTTGCTCCATCTATCCTCCTTATTTCTCCTCCTTTTTTGTGTTTGTTACTCCCTTGTAACATCTCTAATCTTTGGCACTTACATCTCCTTTTTGTTTTGCAAGTGGTGGAAAATTCTTACGAAAACGAAATCACTGAATAGAGTGATAAAATTACCTTCCTACTTACCTCTCATGTGTTTGAGGAAAATTGAACCACCCATGTTTTTCTACCCATTGTCTTTATTGTCTCTTCCTTTCAAGTTTGCCTTTTCAATCTTTGCAGACAGCAGGACAGCCCTGTGGACTTTAGACGCAGAGACAGAAATCAGCTATGGCAAGTCAGAGAGACAAAAGTTTGACATCTTCCACAAGAAAAATACTCCAAAGAAAGGTCAGCTTACAATCGCCCTTTGTTGGAGGTGGTAAATTTAATTTCGTTTTTGTACCCATTCAAAGTTTGATGATCTTTTCATTTTCTGAATATGCTGCCGTTGGTGGGTGGTCTGATGTGCTATGCCTTTTCTACTTCTTAGTTGTAGTAGAGGTTTTACGGCGCTCGCGACAGCACATGGTTTCTACTTCTGTTGAATGTTTCCACTGTTATTCCCTATGGCTGATAAAACGGTAAAAATGTTTCAGTTTACTGGGCTAATGTGCAGTGAGCTAGGACTCAAGCCTGCAGAAGGTCAGAGCGGCACTTATAATATTATGTGGGTGGTTGGCGGGTGCTCTGGTGTGGTTTGCTTCTTCTTTCCTATCAAACATCTATCAACCTTATCACCCCTTCTCCTTTTTTTATGTTTGTTACTCTCTTGTAACACCTCTAATCTTCTGGCGCTCATGTGAGCTTATGCAGTTGCGAGCGCCGTAAAACCTCCACTAAAATAAATAACTTATAATAATATAACCTAATTTTGTTGCAAGTGCCGTAAAATACTTTCTAAAAAAAACCCAAACAACTAAGTTTCTCACCTGTTTTCTTCCAACTTTTGACAGGAGCCCCCATCTTCGTCTTCCTGCATGGCGGTTACTGGCAGATCAAGGATGTGTGGTAAGATGTGGAAGGAAATGTGGGTGGTTTGCGGGTGCTCTGGTGTGGTTTGCTTCTTCTTTCCTATCAAACATCTATCGTCCTTATCTCCCCTTAATCTTTTTTATGTTTGTTACTCTCTTGTAACTGCTCTGATCTTCTGGCACCCAAATGACCTTATGCAGTTGCGAGCGCCGTAAAACCCTCTACTTAACTAAACTGGAAGGAAATTCCTTCTGTCCTCCTTGTCTGTAGACGTTTATCCTGTTTTTGTCTCTTTTTAGTTTTAGTAAGGTTTTTACGGCGCTCACAGCTGCTTAAGGTCATATGAGCGCCAAGGGGTGGATGTCAACAGAGAAATCCAAATGGGGAATCAGGCTTACTCTGCTCACCTCTCTAGCCTCAATAGCACAAAGTCTGCTTCAACTATCAAGGCACCCCGGAAATAACAGGTCACAAGAATGTGACAAACATACAAAAGAAGTAAAGGAAAAAATGATGAGAGTAAGGATTAAGAAGGAAAAAGCAGCAGTTCCCTGTTGCAGTTCAGGCACATAATCATTTCATTTTCTGAATATACCGGGCTAATGTTTCGATACTGACAGAGCTGATAGAGCATTTGTGAGGCAGCGTGGTGGAATCAGGCTCTCGTCAATTTTTGGGCATATTGAGTTATTGGTCTTATCTTAAAGCTTGTTCATTTGTCTTGCTTTCAATGAAAAAATTACCCATCCATCTTCTATAGAAGTGGAGATATTTTGGATTGAAGGAGTCACCTGGTTAAAGAGGTAAAATTAGTGAGAAAATGTCCGCCAAAGCTTGGTAAATTCCAAAGCTGAAGAGTCCATGGAAACTGTAAATTTATATTTTTGTGCCTTTAATCAACGTTTTCGGTGAAAGTTTCCAAGGAATGTGTTTGCAAATAGACATAATAAGTGTTGAGCCCCCCAAAAAAATTGATAAAAATTGCTCAGCATGGAGAAGACTGCTGTTTTCTTCGATTTTATTATTTTGATGAGAGCCTGATTCCACCACGCTGCCTCACATTTGGTTTCTGACCTCACGGTCTTAGTAACTCCAAACGGCCAAAGCTGTCAGATAGAACTTTGTCATTTCTAAAGTAGCGAACCGCTGACTGACACAGTTTCTCTCTTTCCCATTTCAGCCGAGAGAACTCTGGGTTCATGGCGGTTCCTCTATGCAACGCCGGGGCTTCTGTGGTCACAGTGGACTACGACTTAGCACCTGATGGTGAGTTGGTGGTGCTCTATCGTGGAGGGGGGGGGGGGTATTTAGCCTGTCAGTCTAAGGATATGGTACTCTATCACGAGGGTATCTATCTTGCAAATATCTCAACTTCATTTCAATATGGATGAGTATTATTTTTTTGTTGTTCAAAAGCAAGGCAAATGGATTAGCTTTCAGATGATACCAATAAGTCCACATATCCAAAAACTGACAAGCTCCTGATTCCACCAGGTCGTTCTGACACATATTATCATAGCACTTTATCCCTAGCAGGCTCAAAGTGCTGTACAGTGCAGACTGTATCACTCAGTTTTACAGATGAATCCAAACTCAGACAATGCACATTGTCAGACCATTTAACAATAATAACAACAACAACAACAACAACAACAACAACAACAACAACAACAACAACACACACACACACACACACACACACACACACACACACACACACACGCACACAACTGCCAGATCCGCACACATTCTCTTGTACAAAAATTAGTGACAGAGGATGGATAGTGTTGAACAAATGTGTGCCTTTAGACTCTGATGAGACATTTTTCTTCAACTTTACTTACTTTTACTTTTACTTTTTCATCCTCTGTTGCCGTTAACCGTAGAGGGGCAATGCAGTTTTCTATGGTAGGCCAGCTCAGCAGCTCTTTCTATTAGGATATTATGTTTTCTTAGGGTTTCCTTTACTCCCTCGATCCGACTTTTGCGTGGCCTTCCTCTTCCTTTATAGCCTGAGTGCTTGGTGTTGTAGGCTCTCGAGGCTGGCTGGCCAGGTGACATATGTAACAGGTGGCCTAACCATTTTACTCTCTGTTTTTCTATGAAATGCAGCAAGACTCAGTGCCAATAGCTGCTCTTATTACTTTTCTTCAGCTCTCTCTCTAATGGTATGATATGTGAAGTGTGCTGACAAAATTAGTTGCTTCGGGGATTCAAGCCTTAAGGAAATAGATATATCACGCTTATAGGTGAAGTTTTTACAATTTATAAGTATGAAATAATAAAAGACGGGTTATAGTTAAAGAATATGGCATCTATAGAAAATCTACAAATTTGACCCTAATGTCGATTTTGGGCCAATATCTCCATTTGTGGATTGCGAGAAGTATCTCATTTTGTCTGCACGCCTCACGTATATACATTTCTTTAAATTTACATGTTGTGTTTGTTTTGTGTCAACGTGCCTACATTTTTAAAATATTCAATGGCCACAAGGCTAGAGGACAACTGATAAAGACCTGGAAATAAACGGAGTCGGGCAAACACTAATAGCTCACGGCATCCCCCTGACCCAAGCTCTTTGGCTGGCGACAGAGAGACGTCTCTTTCTTCCCGCGACACCCAGAAGGGTATATGTGGCGAGTAAAAGTAAAGTAAAGTTTCTGTGTGTGTGTGTGTCCTCAGTGACCTTGGACGAGATGATCCTTCAGGTGAAGAAAGCCGTGCACATGGTCATCAAGCTGGCTAAGGAACGACAGAGCAGGTGAGGAGGAAGTGTAGGCTTAGGGTGGTGGTTGGGGGGGAGTGAAGTCGCAAGTTGCACATGATTTATTGGGGTAGGGTTTTGGGCTGGTGGTGGGGGGGTAGTTGCAAGTCGCACAAGATTTATCGGGGTGGGGTGTTGCGAGTGGTTGGTGGGTGCTGTAATGTGGTTGTTTATCTCTTCTTCTAATTTTGTTCTGTTGTTTTATACCGTTGTCTCAGTTTTGTCGTGTAGAACTGTTGCAGCAGTGTCTGTGGTGTAGTAGTTGGGCACTTCGCCCTCACATGCAGGAGACCCAAGTTTGATTCTCAAATAGGGCAAACATTTTATTGAGATTCTCTGTCCAAAATGCTTCAACAAACGTTGCACAAAGAGACAACACAAACATACCCAGACAAGTTGTTGTTGATCGTGGGTCCTTCTGTTACTGTTTTTTATATCTTAAAATTAAGATATATAAGATATATTAAGATATTGTCCGTGCTCACAAGCTGTAAGCTTGGACTTATCAACAACTCATAGCCATACTGCCCCCACTCTCCCCCCCCCCCCCACCCTTTTGATAGAAAAGAAGACAAAAATCACACCTCAAATAGTTGAACAACACAGTCATACTGCACCCCCCCCCCCCCCCTTCACCCCCACCTCCCTCATCCCACCACACTTCTCAAAGGAAAAAAGAAAATAAATCAATCGCATATTCAACAGTTGAACAAAGAGACTACACAAACATACCCAAACAAGTTGTTGGTGACTGTGGGTCGTTATGTGACTGGTTTTTTTACATTTCAATTTTGTCCAAAATAAGTCCTCCCTCCCTCCCTCCCTCCCTTCACCCCCCACTCCCGCCTCCCTCCACACTTTTCAAAGGAAAAAGAAAAAAAACAAAACATCCCCACACATTAAACAGTTGCACAAACAGACAACGCAAACATTCCCAGAAAAGTTGCTGTTGACTGTGGGTCATTTCTGTGATTGGTTTTTGTATTTCAATATTGTCCTCACTCACTCACAAGCTGTCAGCTAGGGCTTAGTGGGTGGTTGGCAGGTGCTCTGGTATGGTTTGCTCCTTGTTTCCTATCAAACATCTATCGTCCTGATCTCTCCTCCTTCTTTTTTGTGTTTGTGACTCTCTTGTAACACCTCTAATCTTCGGCACTTTTATGACCATATTGTGTTGCAAGTGCCGAAAAACTCTTACTAAAACAAACAAAAAAACCCAAAAAGCTATGACTTATCAACAAATCATACTCACACAAGTTGCTGTTGACTGTGGGTCATTTCTGTGACTATCTCCTATATTTCCCCCCAACTGTCCTCCACCACCACCTTCACCACCACCACCGTCACCACCTTCATCACCACCACCATCACCACCACCACCACCACCATCACCACCACCATCACCATCACCATCACCACCACCATCACCACCATCATCACCCCCACTGTCTGGCCCATGTGTCCAGTGGAATCTACCTGAGTGGTCACTCGGCCGGCGGACACCTAGCCTGCATGATGCTCATGTCAGCGTTCTCCGAGTACGATGCCTTCGACAGCGAGATCATCAAAGGTGGGTGGGTGGTCGTTTTGACGGCTGTTGCACTCGTGTGAGGTAGCGTGGTGAAATCAGGCGCTCGCCAGAATAATGTAATCAAGGAAAACAGCATTTTTTTCTGGCTGTTGGGCTATTTTAAAAAAGAATTTCTCTCTTTGGCTCAATACCTTCTATGTCCATTTCAGAAAACATTTCTGTGTGGATTTTCTTGAAAAACGTCGCTCAAAGGCATGTAAACTTGTAGTTTTCATGGACACTCAAGCTTTGGAGGTCACCGAACTTTGGCAGCCATTTTCTCGCTAATTTTACCTCTGACACCAGGCAACCCCCGCCTCCTTCAAGCACAGATATCCTGAGACTTCTATTCAAGATGGATTGTGGTTACTTGAGGGAGGCATTGCGCCGCCTGGAGCGAAATGCTCACAGCTAAAGGGATTTGAAAACAACAACAACGTTCAAGATGGATGGGGGGGGTTTTTTTGCGAAATGCAACACAATTGAACAAGCTTTAAGATGATACTAATAATTTATGCCCAAACATTTACGAGCGCCTGATTCCACCGCGTCGTGACACGAATGTCTGACCAGTGCTATAAATCTAATGGGTGTTTATACAGCAGTCACCTTATTTTACGGTCACTGTATTCATGATGCTCTACTTTTATTGTCCCGAGGATGTGCGACAGGTGTGGAATACTGTGGATTGTAAACTGCATAGATAGAGCTTGCTGTTGAACAAGGATTTGTGCTTTATAAATATTATCTATTAATATTAGTGTTATAGGGCCTACTGTATACATAATTGGTCAATTAATCTTTTATGTTTTGTTTTTATGATCCCACTGATGTGTTAGATAGAATTTTTTAATAGAATGTTTCAGTTCAAGGAAAGAAAAAAAATAATCGATAAATACATGAAAGAACTCTGTGTGTCTTACATTTCATCAACTGTGAAAATGTAGTGTGTTCTGCTGAACCTCTATTGGGCTGGTAGTTTGTGACACTTTTCGGTCACTTGATGCAATAATGCACCGGTGAAAATTGTCCGTTCCGGTCACCTGGTGCAGTTTGAACTGTGCCAGGACCGAGAAGTCTGTTGCAGTCACTCTCCTGGCTGGGTCACCAGATGGGGTATTTTGTACCGCTGGCTGTGTGACTGCAAAGTGTTAAATAGATCCACTATATACCTGTGTGTTGGTAGCGTAGGCAGAGCTTTGTGGGTGGTTGGTGGGTGCTCTGGTTTCAGTTTGCTCCTTCTTTCCTGTCAAACATCTGTTGTCCTTATCTCTCCTCCTTCATGTTTGTGTTTGTTACTCTCTTGTAACACCCCTAATCTTCGGCACTTACACGACCTTATTGTGTTGCAAGTGCCGTAAAACACTTACTAAAAGGTAACAGCTCATATGAATATAGATATACAACCTTATTGTGCTGAAAGTGCTGTAAAACACACACTAAAAAGTAACAGCTCACATGAATATCAGTGCTCAGACATAGATATATGTTGTAAAATGTTCATTTTCTGTATTATCTCTTGCCTTTTTTCTTACCATCTTTTAATAGGCACCACTGAGAGGTCATTCTTTTTTTTACCTTCCCTCAGACTGTCTGTGTGAGTGGTTGGCGGGTGCTCTGGTGAGGTTTGCCTCCTTCTTTCCTATCAAACTTCTGTCCTCCTTATCTCTCCTCCTTCTTTTTTATGTGTTGCTCTCTTGTAACACCTCTAGTCTGCAGCACTTATAGGACCTTATTGTGTTGCAAGTGCAGCAGAACTCGTACTAAAACTAAGTAGAGGGATCAAGGAGTGATATCTCTTATCGGTCAGTTCAACAAATTGGTGCTCACAAGTTTCTTTGTCTGTCCGTCTCACAGGTGCTATTTTAGTGAGCGGCTTGTACGACCTTCGACCTATCACGAAGACATCCAACAACGACGCCCTGGGCCTGTCAGAGTGAGTTTGTCCTTGTTGACTGCGGGCTCTTACAGGACCTTATTGTGTTGGGAGTGCTGTAAAACTCTTGCTAAAACATGACTGCATACTCTTATAGGACCTTATTGTGTTCGGAGTGCTGTAAAACTCTTGCTAAAACATGACTGCATACTTTTATATGACCTTATTGTTTTTGCAAATGGTGTAAAACTCTCTCTCCCCCACCCGGGCGGTGCCACAGACTGAAGTGTCTTTTGGCCTTTTCCAAAGGGGTGACATTTCTCGTTCTAATGCACAGTAAAATTGTAAATGGGTTGACCCAACAATGTCATGCTCATAACTGTGCCTGAACTACAACAGGGAACTGCTGCTTTTTCTCTCCTAGTCCTTACTATCATCATTTTCCTCTACTTCTTTTGTATGTTTGTCACACTCTTGTGACCCGCTATTTCCGGGGTGCCTTGAAAGTCGAAACAGACTTTGTGCTGTTGAAGCTAGAGAGGTGAGCAGAGTTAGCCTGATTCCCTGTAAGGACTTCTCTGTTCACATCCACCCCTTGGCGCTCATATGACCTTATGCAGTTGCGAGCGCAGTGAAACCTCTTCTAAAACTTTTTTAAAAGGGGGTGGTTGGAGGGCACACCACTGGTAGGTCCTACTTTTTTACTTTCCTATGTTGTTTCTGTCTGTCTGTTTGTCTTGCTTTTTCCCTACTTTAAATGACCGGTACTATGCTGATGCACTTCTCTGTTCTCTAACATTATTGCAATTCCTTACTGGCTGGTGTACCTGATGAACAGTTACAACAACTACAAAGAGTACAAAATATTGCTGCCAAAATAATTACTAAAAAACTAAAGCATGATCATGTGACTCCTATTTTAAAAGCATTACACTGGCTCCCAGTGAAAGAGCGTATCATATATAAAATCTGTTTAACTTGCTACAAGTGCTTAAATGATTTATCACCGGACTATCTAAAACAGCTTTTAACACCCTATGTGCGTCCTAGAATGCTCAGATCATCAAGTGACAAAACATCCCTTGTTAAGCCTAAAATAAATTACAAATATTATGGCCAACGCTCTTTTTCATATTTTGCCCCACTTGTTTGGAATAGGCTTCCAAAAACTATCAGAGAAGCAGAAAATCTAGAAATTTTTAAGAAGAAACTAAAGTCATTTCTATTTTCATCATATTTCGATTAGACAGAATGCATCCAAGCTGTAGATCGTTGTGAGTTTGTATGTGCGTATGTGCATATGTACGTATGTGTGTATGTGAGTATGTATGTGTGTGTGGTGCGTGCGTGAGTGAATATGTGTTTGCATGAGTATGTAACACTATGTACCTTTAAAATTGATTTGTAAATCCATTATATGTATCATGTTAAGTGCATAGAGCATTGCATAAGTGGATATGCGCTATATAAATGCAATCCATTATTATTATTATTTAACAGACAAACAGACAGACAAACAAAGATTTGCACAGAAGTCATTTTACACATTAAAGTTTTCTGCTGTGGATGCTCCTTTATGCTTCTCTTTACCACCACCAATCTTCGCACTTTTGCTTGTGGGTGGTTGGCGGGTGCTCTGGTGTGGTTTGCTTCTTCTTTCCTATCAAACATCTATCGTCCTTATCTCCCCTTTTTCTTTTTTATGTTTGTTACTCTCTTGTAACACCTCTAGTCTTCTGGCGCTCGTATGACCTTATGCAGTTGGGAGCGCCGTAAAACCTCCACTACAACTATAAAGCACTTTTGTTTCCATCCAGAGAGGACGCCTGGAGGTTCAGCCCTTTAAATTTCGTCTCGGAGATCGCGCAGCAGTCGCAGCATCGGCACGTTTCTTTTGTGGTGGGAGAGTACGACCCCCCGGAGTTCCGTCGTCAGAGCGGAGAGATGGAGAAGGTGAGGGTGACGATGTTGGGTTTGTCCTTATTGGGGCACTGGTGTGCGGATTGTTTGCTGGAGCTTCCTGTTTTTTTTACTTCTTATATCTGGCAGGAAACGACACGCACAGTCTCTGGGACACTTGAATAGATATAAAGGCTTTGAACATCCAGTTCTCACTGGTAAAATTGAGGGCATGTGAGGCAGGGGTAGGCCAAGAGCAACGTACTCGGAGAACCTAAATAGATGTGCAACAGGGAAAGATCAGGGTAATGTAGCTTTTTTGAGAGCATTAGGGCAGAGCAATGAATGGAAAACCATGATCGCTCATGTCTGTCGCAGACCAAATCAACAACTGTTCCTACCATAGTCTGTCTCTGTATTCTGTGTCTCTCCGTCCCTGCTCCATGGATGGTTGAAGGACTCCACTGATATATGTGAGGTGTGCTGACAAAATGAGTTACTTCTCGGATTTGAGCATTATGGAAATTGATACATCAACTTGATAGGTGAAGTTTGTACAATTTGTGAGTATGGAATAGTAAAAGACACAGTAAACTTGAACAAAATGGCATCAATTGAACATCTATAAATCTGACCCCAGTGTCGTTTTTCAGCCAATATCTCCATTCTTGGATCGTGAGAAGTAACTCATTTTGTCAGCACATCTCACATATGTCATTCTTCTTTATTATTCCTATTTTGTTTCTGTCTCTCTGTCTTGTTTATTCTGTCAGTGTGCCTCTCTTTGCTCAAACAAACAACAGTTCAAGAGCTACCTTTGCAACACCCTCCATGTTTCCCTTCCCATTCTCCATGAATGAAGGTCCTCACTGACAGACCTTTCTTCTTTGCCCTGCCTCTTGTATTTCGGCCTATCTTATTTACTCGATGTGCAGACAAGTGAGTGGGTGGTTGGCGGGTGCTCTGGTGTGGTTTGCTCCTTCTTTCCTATCAAACATCTATCGTCCTTATCTCCCCTTCTTCTTTTTTATGTTTGGTACTCTCTTGTAACACCTCTAATCTTCTGGTGCTCATATGACCTTATGCAGTTGAGAGTGCCGTAAAGTCTCTACCAAAACTAACACTAAGACAAGTGGGATACCCCCTGGCGGTGCAGCTGACTGAAGTGTCTTTAGGCCATTCCCAAAGGGGGGACCTTCATCATGTTCTTATGCACAGTAAAATTGTAATTGTAAATGGACTAATTCATCAATGTCATGCTTATAACTGTGCCTGAACTGCAACATGGAAGTGCTGCTTTTTCTTTCCTAATCCTTACTATCGTCATTTTTCCTCTGCTTCTTTTGTATGTTTGTCACACTCTTGTGACCCGCTATTTCCGGGGTGCCTTGATAGTTGAAGCAGACTTTGTGGTGTTGAAGCTAGAGAGGTGAGCAGAGTAAGTCTGATTCCCTGTAAGGACTTCTCTGTTGACACCCACCCCTTGGCGCTCATATGACCGTATGCAGGTGCGAGCACCGTAAAACCTCTGCTTAAACAAACAAACAAGAAAAGTGGGAAGACATGGAATAACACCAAGACGTTAACTCTGGATAAAGAAAGGTGGAAAGTGTTTGTTCGTGTGTGGCCTACATCTTGATCCAGGGTGAGAAAGGCAATGATGATGATCTTATTTGTAATGTCAGTGTGGTTCTCTTTCCTCGCGCTCAAACCCTTTGTGGGTGGTCTGCTCCTTCTTTCTAATCAAACATCCGTCTTCTTTGTCTCTCCTCTTTCTTTTGTGTTTGTTACTCTCTAGTAACACCTCTAATCTTCAGCACTTTTAATAAATAATAATAATGATGGATTGCATTTATATAGCGCATATCCACTTATGCAATGCTCTATGCGCTTAATATGATACTTATTATGGATTTTGCTAATCAATTTTAAAGGCACATAGTGTTACATACGCATCCACACACATATTCACGCATGCACGCACCATACACACATATGCAAATACACACATACTAACTCACAACGATCTACAGCTTGGATGGATTCTGTCTAATTTTATGGCCTATTTGTGTTACAAGTGCTGTAAATCTCTTACTGTCGGCACTCCCCAGCTGCTGCGGGACAGCGGTGTGAGGACGTCCTACATGGAGGTCCCAGACACAGATCACTTTGACGTGATCAACAAGTTGAGCGAGCCGAATTTCCTGCTCTCAAAGGTGAGAGATTTTTTGTCCCTCATAGTAGTAATAGTAATGATAATGATGATAATAATAATACATACGTGAGGCATAGTTGTAAAATCAGACGCTCATCAGAATAATGAATCCGAGGAAACTGGCATTTTTCTACAGGTTTGGGAATTTTTATTGAATTTTTGTTTTTTGGCTCAACACCTTCTGAAAAACGTTGATTAAAGGCATAAGATATGTGAGGTGTGCTGACAAAACGAGTTACTTCTCGCAATCCACAAGTGGAGATATTGACCAAAAATCGACATTAGGGCCCAATTTGTAGATTTTTTTTCTATTGAGGCCATTTTCTTTAAGTGTAACATGCCTTTGATTATTTCATACTTATAAATTGTGAAAGCTTCACCTATAAGCGTGAGGTATCTATTTCTATAGGGCTCAAATCCGAGAAGTAACTCATTTCGTCAGCACGCTTCACATAATTTTCAGTTACAACAGACTCTAAAGCTAAGGAAATAATGCAACTTTGGCAGCCATTTTCTCGTTAATTTTTCCTTTAAATCTATTTTACCCCCCACCTCCTTCAATCGCCAATGTCTTGATTTGCATCCAAGATAAATGAATATTTTTCTCCATCAAAAGCAAAGAAATTGGATAAGCTTTAATATGATACCAATGACTCCAAATGCTCCAAATTGACGAGAGCCTGATTCCACTGCTTCGTATCACATAGCCAATGTATAATGTTTATCGATGAATTACTCATCCAAGAAGATGAAGATCAATTTGCCTTTGTTTCTTTCCCCATCTTCCAGGAGATAATTCGTCTTATGGGATTGTGAGTTCCTGCCGACGTGACCTTCTTGTGTCTAACGTGGACACTTTGTGCGGGTTTGATGAACTAAGGCAGATGCTACATTCCAAATGTCCTCTGTGCAAACAGGGGACGACTTCTGAAGACAGCAGGGATACACTTTTACGAGGGATAGAGAGAGAGAGAGAGAGAGAAAGGGATAGAGAGAGAGAGAGAGAGAGGGATAGAGAGAGAGAGAGAGAGAGATAGAGAGAGAGGGAGAGAGAGAGAGAGGGAGAGATAGAGAGAGAGGGAGAGAGAGAGATAGAGAGAGAGGGAGAGAGAGAGAGAGTATTGTGGGATGAGTACAGTGCCTTTCTTACCTCCCATCACTTGTTTTATTTCTTCATCACCATTGATGCTTTTGCAACACGAGTCACGCTACTTGATAAAGTGGTCGAGTTGAACTGGGGGTTTTTTTTTAATGGAAGTTGGGTTCCTTGATGGTGTTATAAAGTCGAACCAGGTTTTTATTTGTAGAGTCTGTGTTCTTTTCAATGTGATCTATTTGGCTGGGTTTTTATTACGGGAGTCAGGCTCTTCGTTTATGTGGTCTGGTTAAATTGGGTTTTTTTATAACAGGAGTCCAGCTTTTTATCGATACAATCTAATTGTAATGGGTTTTTGATTTGTAGAGTCAGGCTCTTTATTGGTGGCTTGAGTCTTCAGGTCTGATATCACAGTGTCAAGCAGGGTTCAGGTCAAAAGGCAGGACAGAAGACCAGCTCTTCAGGGTCACACAGAAAGTTATTGATGGATTTCAAAGAGGGGAACAGACAACGGCTGTGTTTGTGGATCTCCAACAAGCCTACGATAGAGTGTGGAGGAAAGGACTACTCTTAAAACTGCAGAACATGGGAATCACATGAATAAACCACTGGTCAAAGATCCAATCAATGAGTTGAGGAAGGGAGATCAATCCATCATCTTCCAACTTAGAACACAACATGTACCCCTCAACCAACATCTCAACCGACTTGGAGTAAAGCAGTCTGCTGCCTGCCCACTATGTGACTACCCCTCAGAGACAGTGGAACATCGACTGTTCTTCTGTAGAAAACTAACTGATTTAAAGGGATGTTTTCTTCCCAAGCTACCCCACACATCTAATTGCCTCTACTCCTCAAGATAACAATTAGAACAGACATGCAGCTATTACCGAATGGCATCATGCAGAAGAGTTAACGCTCAGATGCTACTGGATCGCTAACAACAACAACAACAGAGTCAGGCTCCTGAACAATTTATCTCCAGATGGAATTTCCCACGATGTGGGGGTCTTCTTTTGATACGAAACCTAACGGTGACATATACATTTGTACAAAACCTAAAAGTGACATATACATTTGTATGAAACCTAACAGTGACCTATGTGAGACATGCTAACAAAATGATTTACTTCTCAGATTTAGGCCTGATGGAAATAGATATGTCAAATTTTTATGTTGAGTATTTACAATTTATTTGTATGAAATGATAAAAGAGAGTGGCATTGGATTAGAATCTATAAATACTACCTTTGTGTTGATTTTCGGCCGATATCTCCATTCATAGATTGCGAGAAGTAACTAATTTTGTCAGCACACCTCAGATATATATTATTATACATTTGTATGTCACTAAATTGGTCATTAAATCAATACAAATTAACTTATTTGGATTGTTCTTCATCTAATGAAAAGCTCCCACAAAAAGAGACCTGTTTTCGACACTTACTGAAAAGTAATGTAACGTCGGAGTCGACGTAAAGAAATTACGTGTCATGGCCGCTGCCAGTAGCTCACCCGTACAGCGGTTCCGACCGCAAGCTGCTGGGAGCTGCCTGTTAGAGATGTTGTTGTTGTTGTTGTTGTTGTTGTTATCGATCCAGCAACAGCTGGGCTCTCACCCTTCTGCCCAATGCCATGTAGTGATAAGTGCAGGTTTGCTGCAGTTGCTGTAATGTTCCATCATAGAGTGTGACCTGTTAGAGATAAGGAGTCAATGATGGGATTTGAGTTGAACTGCTGGTTTGGGGGTTTGTTTATTGGGGGTTTTTTGTAGGGTCAGTCTCCTTATAATGTGATGACTGGGATTTTGTATCGGAGTCGGGTTCTTTGGTGATGTGTTCTATTGGAACTGGTTTTTTATTAAGAGAGGCTGGCTCCTTGAAAATGTGATCTAATCGGCTGGGGTATTATTATGAGAGGAAGGCTGTTTGCTGCTCTCAAAATTTCACATGCTTTTTTCTACGGTTGTGGAAAAGTTGGGGGTTTTTTGGGTTTTTTAAAAATCTATTTACAGAGAAAAAGTTTATCCATATTTTTTAATCTGGTATATCATTCCTGGAAGATTGTGTCTGCTTTGTAATTAATCTACTACACCAAATACTGATGAATTTTTCTGTATCTTTAACTGTTTTATTATAAATGGAAAAGTTTATGTGGTTTTTTAAATTTATTACACCATACATGAATAGCTTTATAATGTGTGTTTTTACCTATCATGTCTATTGTATCATTTATTATATATATTACACATGCAAAATCTTAACTGTATCTTATTCAAAATTCGTGTTGTGCTATGAGAGAGAACTATGACACATCGTTCCTGTTAACTTTTAACACAGGTGATTGGCAGGGGCTCTGGTGTAGTTTGTTCCTTTTTTCCTATCAAATTCCTCTCATTTTTATCTTTCCTTCTTTTTTATGTCTGTTACTCTCTTATAACACCTCTAATCTTCGGCATTTATATGGCCTAGTTGTATTCCAAGTGCTGTAAAACGCTTCCTAAAATTAAAACTGAACTTTTAAAAGGCGATTGACAATAGTGGATGCCTAGTCATTTTTCTTGGATTTTATACAGCTTCCACTCTTAATAAAATGTTTGATCTCTTTCCAGAATTGTGTTTACAGATTTGGAGGCGGAGGGGGGGGGGGGGGGGGGGGGGGGGAGGAGGACAACTGCATTAAACATTTTTATTCTCTTTTCAGAATAAAATGCTATGGAAATAATTATAGCAGGTGTTACGACCAGAAGTTCTGAGGTCTGAAGTTGTGAAATAACTATCGAAAAACACAAACATTTTTGTGTTATCTGACCGGGTGTGAAATGTCAGTGTAGACTCCTGTCTGCGTGACACTTTTTTCCTTGCTTAGCTCGTTAATGTTATGTTTGCTTTTTTATCAATCGCTTTGTACTGGACAGACCCTTCTGTGATTTTTACACAATGATTTTGACTCGGGGTCATTGTACCCAGCTACATGTTGCTTTTCTCCGCGATGTAATGATACTGTGTTGTGGGGGTCACTTAAAACTGCTTTTTTTTGCAACTTTATACGGTATTTCTAGCTTTAACCTTATATGGTCATGATGTCACCAAAAATTTCTGTGTTTTATTTTACCCGTACCAGAAGCTTTATTTACACATCGTGTGTTCGTTTTTGGTGATTATTCATTCTGTACTGTTTGTCTATGTATAAATATGTACTGCTGTTTCCATTTGTTCATTCACTTTAAGGAAACTGCTGCAATGGTTGAAAGTTTTGTTTTATATGTACCTTATGGCCTCCCTGTTTTGTTTGGGTTTTAAAAAAGTCAAGCGTATTCGTCATGACATAGTGGATGAGTGTATTGATTTTAAAATCCCTTTCTGCACTATTATTATGTTATTTATGAGACGGGACTTTCGAATTTGAAGTCCATCTTCAATTGAACTGAGCCAAGTGGGTTTGAAGACCTTGAAAACTCTACACAGCGACCCGAGTTCAAGAACGCCATGTCTGGGATTTGGACCAAGGCCATCCTCTGTGTAATCCTTCATGATACCAGCTGAGCTAATAAACCCGTCTGCTGGGACATTTCAGTATCCCACTTTCAGCACTTTTTAAGGACCCCCGGGCGAGTGTTGAGTTCCTGCGTGCTGTCGGCATCGCTGACCGTTTATGAAGCCACAGCGCCAGAAGAGAGAGAGAGAGAGAGAGCTGAGCTAATGGCCAGAGCGCCCCAGTTGCTGTCAGGCACGAAGATGGGAGCATACTTTGTCAATGACGTAGCAGGTGTCAGGTCTGTATGTCTGACTGGTTTGCTGGAGGATTTTGAATGTTTTCAGTTTCCCGCCTCTGACTATTGGGTAGGGCTGGTCAACAAGTCGCTTTAGCGAAATCCAGATAATACGTTAGTGCACCGCTTCGGCAAATGGGTTAGAACCACTTCAACGAACGGGTTAGCACTACTTAAATAATCTATCGCTGTGATGGCTCACTCTATTTTGTGTTTGTTACTCTCTCGTACCACCTCTAGTCATCAGCATTTATATGACCTATTCGCTTTGCAAGTGCCGTAATACTCTGAAGAAAACTAAAAAAATCTTTTTATCTTGCATTTATTTACCACCACTAATTGTCTGCTGATGTGTCTACGTGGTTCTGTTGAAATGAAACACACTTACCGCTGAGCTGAGCATGTTGCTTTCCATTGTCATTTCCTGAGGTTTGGGTGGTTGGTGGGTGCTCTGGTGTGGTTGGCCTCTTCTATCCTATCAAACATCTATCGTCTTTATCTCCCCTCCTTCTTTTTTGTGTTTGTTACTCTCTTGTAACACCTCTAATCTCCGGCACTTATATGACCTTATTGTGTTGCAAGTGCGGTAAAACATTTACTAAAAACCAAAATTTCCTGATGTTTTAAATTAAAAAGTATTGGATATGTAAAACTCAGTTATCATGTCCCTAGTCAGATTTGTGCTTCAGTGCCTGAATGGGAAGTTCTAAAATTGTTGCAAAGATTTGAACTTGTTATTGCATTTAGCCTTGCATACTTTGTTGGGTTTTTTATATACATTTTTAATTGGAAATAATGTCGGCTTTCATTCAAAATGAACAGGTGAACAGCATTTAAAACCAAAGTCATTGTCAACATGGAGTCACTTAGGACTATTATGTTGGTTGCATTTTTCTATTTTATGAAAGACTTAAGATTTGCCTATCTAGCTCCAGGATACTTTGTCAATATGTGATATATTGTGTATGTCCATAGAATAAGTATTCCTCTTGATTTACATGTATATAAGATAAGATGAGATAAGATACATCTTTATTGTCCAGATGTCACACGTTATGCAGATACGATCACTTATTTCTATACTGCTTTCCAGATCTAAAGTATATTTATGGTAATGGGCTTTAAGTCACATTGATACGGATTGGCAGAATG